GTAGTCTACAGATACTGAGAAGTTAGGTAGCGAGAGGGTGAGGGAGAGATGGTGGACTAAGAAGAGGAAGAAGAAGAACTCTCTCTCTCTCTCTCTCTCTCTCTCTCTCTCTCTCTCTCTTTCTCTCTCTCTCTCTCTCTCTCTCTGTCCGGTACTTACCTGTGAAGGTGGCGCCTTGTTGCAGATACATCGAAGACGAACCTGGAGCTATGGCGCCACAGGTAAGTCTCCCTGGCCTCTGCCAACCATCTCTCTCTCTTCAACGCTACTCTAGCTCCTAATAGCGCCCAACGCTGAAGACTACTGCTAACGCTACTACTACTACTGCAGCGGTCCTTCAAAGTGCTGTTGCCGAATCCTGAACACTGCCTTCTGCCTCCTGCACGTGAAGTGCCTGGGAAGTTCCTATGAACTACCTTGTGACTGTCTGCAGCCTGTAGGACGGGCCAGTCTTATATAGTGCTGGCCCGTTCAGGAGGCTGCTCTTGCCAATGCCGAAACGTGCCACACCCTGGCGTTGAAGTTCAAACAAGGGTTGTCTTGAAAACAGGCCAAAATGGCCTGTGCTAAAACCCTGGTCTGGTGCCTAAGTTTCAGGGCAGGTCGATCTTACGAGGGCCTGAAAATGGCCCTCTGTTTCAGGCTGAAAAGACTCAGGGCCTGGAGGGCCCTGTTTTAGGCTGAAACGACATAGGGCGTGTAGGCCCTCGTTTTCAGGCTTTCAGGGTGAAAACGACACAGGGCCTACAAGCCCTTGTTTTCAGGCTTTTAGGCTGAAAACGACACAGGGCCTGTAGGCCCTTGATTTCAGGCCTTTAGGCTGAGAACGCTGGTCGGGCCCTGCAGGCCCGTGTGGCTGCGCAGTATGCCGCACCCCCCCCCTCCTCCTTGAAAGACCGAGCTTACCTGCGAGGGCGAAGCTGTCTGTCTGAGGGAGGGACCAAAGTCCGGGTGGGAGGGGCAGGTCGTGAAGCTCCCTTAGCTAACCTTTGCCGTTCGTAGTGAGCGTAGATCAGCGGTGCGGATGCTTTCAAATCTGCTCCTGAAAATCCATCGAGTGTCGTCGGGATCGCATGCTTTGAAGGTAACTTTGTACTGTCGAGGCTTGTTGTCGTACTTCCGTGATGACGCGGTCAACTTCCTGATGACCATCCATAGATGGAGGACCTTGCGATCGTCGGCCCGAGAAGTCGTCACTCTTAGCTGGCGTATATGTCGCCAGCTTCGAGGCATGAAAGACTGGATGGACCGTCAGATGCGGGGGGATGTTGATCACAAATGAGGGTCATCGGGCTCATCGCCCGCGGCTGATGTTACGGCCATGGTCCAAACCACGTGGGGAGTAGCCTGCGCAAAACATCCTGCTCAAGTGCAAACTCTTCCGCGGAGACCCAAACCAGATCACCGACGTGGATGGGACATGGCACGCGAAGCCTGTTGGCTTACTGCTGCATGCAGACTTGAACCTTTCGCATGTTCGAGCAGGCTTGAGCCAACAATTCCCTGTACCTTCGGGGGAGCAAGCAGCGTCTATGTCGGTTGTTCTTAGGAGGAGAAAATCAGCAAAGATACAGTCTTTCCAGCCACCATGGCGCAACTCGAATGGAGTCACGCCGATTGCCGGATGCAACGAAGTGTTGTAGGCGAACTTGATGTCGGGGAGGCGTTCAAACCCAATCCTTCTGATCCAGACGGATGAGCGTATGAAGCATCATTTGAGCGGTTTGATGTGCCCGCTCCGTTTGCCCGTCCGTTTGTGGATGCCGAGCCGAACTTTGTTTCATCTTCGTGTCGGATTTCTGCATGAGAGAAGTCCAAAATGCCGACATGAAGCAGTGTTGTGGTCGTTGACGATGTCTTCCGGTACGCAGTGGCTGCAAATCCAGCCGGTGTGCAAGAGGCGCGCAAGTTCGGGAGCGGTGGCGTAGTGCTTGCAAGGGAGAAACCGCGCGTACTTACTCAAACGGTCAACGACCATGAGGATGCCGTCGTGCCCGAGGCAGTCGCGGGGAAACGGTCCCGTGACGTCCATGGCAATGGAGAGGAAGGGTTCCTGTGGGATAGGCATCGGGCGCAACTCGCCGTAGGGATTGCGGTTGCGGGGCTTGCTTCATCGGCAAACTTCGCAAGAGTCGCAATACCGAGCGACATCGGTAATGAGGTCGGGCCATCGAAATCGTTGTTGAAGTCGTGCAATAGTGCGATTGACTCCGAAATGGCCGACGAGTCGCAAGTCATGGTACTCGCCGAGAAGGCGAGTCCGAAGACGACGGTCTCGTGGGATACACAATAAGTCCTTGCCTCGCGAGTGGAGGAGCAAGTACTCGTCGACGATGCGATAGTGGCTGGCCGGCGGGTGATCCGAAGATAGTTGCGCATACAACATCGCGAAATCCGGATCGGACTCATAGCCCTGGATGAAGTGTCGCTGGATATCCTCGTCGAATGCGAAGGCATGATGTGTCATAGCGCAAAGATCGGGTCTTCGCGAGAGTGTATCTGCTGCGTGATTGGAGAGGTCGGCGAGATGTTTTGGTGTGAAGTCAAATTGGTCGATAAAGTACATCCATCGTCCGATCGTGCTGCTCACCGTATCTTACGTCTTGTAGTAGGTCAACGGGTTGTTGTCGGTGACCCATGTGAACCTACGACGCCCAAGAAGGAAGTGTTGCCATCGCTTGAGAACCATAACGAACGCGAGCAACTCCTTCTTCCTTGCATCATCAAGTGAATTGATGGGAGGCAATTTGTGGCTGAAATACTCCACGGGGTGCCAGTCGTCGTCGTCGTGTTGTTCCAAGATTGCCCCAATGCCATAGCCGGAAGCGTTCGTTGTCACTCTCGTTGGCAGGGTGGGGTCGTAGATGTTAAGGACGAGTGCCATCAGCATGGCCGTCTCGAGTGCTTGGAATGACCGGCGTGCGTCGTCATCGAATACGAATGGCACCTTCGGCGATTGTAATCTCATAGGTGCAACAATCCTTGAGTACCCGATGATGAAACGTTGATAGTAGCCCGCCAACCCCCATGAATGAGTGAACGTTCGTGGTGTTGGTGGGCTCGGGCCATACGCGGATGGCCTCAATCTTGTCCGCAAGCGGACGGATGCCTTGCGGCGTCACATGATGTCCCAAGTACTCCAGCTCTTGCCGCGCGAATTCGCATTTGTCGCGGTTGGCTTTGTATTTGGCTTGTCGTAGCCACTCCAAAACGGTGCGGAGGTGCTCCACATGCTCGTCCAAACTCCGGCTGTACACCAAGATGTCGTCGAGGTAGATGAGTACGAATCTATCCAGCATGTGTCGGAACTCCGTTGTTATAGCCGCTTGGAATGTGGCCGGGGCATTCGTAAGGCCAAAAGGCATAACCAGCCATTGGAAATGCCCATATCGCGTCTCAAACGCGGTCTTGTAGCGGTCCTCCTGCCGGGTCTCATGTTGGTGATATCCCGATTTGAGGTCAAGCTTGGAGAACAACTTGGCGCCGCCCAACCGTTACAGGAGGTCGTCGATGGGCGGGAGAGGGTCGGCGTTCTTGATGGTTTGCGAGTTGAGCTTGCGAGAATCGATGCACAACCGCAAGTCCTTGTTCTTCTTCTGGACGACGAGAACGGGAGCGCCGTATGGCGAGGAGCTAGGCCGAATCCAGCCTTTCTCGAGAAGGTCGTCGAGTTGTACCTGTAGCATACTTAACTCTTCCTCGCTCATACGGTAAATGCAAGCACGAGGAGGTACGGCCCCAGCCTCGAGGATGATCTCGTGGCGGATAGGCCGATTCGGTACTACTCCGTGCGGGGCTTCGAACACGTTGCCGTAGGCGTCCAGAAGCTCGGTGATGCGTGAATCCGGTGATGAGTTCGTCGATGGAATGTCATGGGGCGGGAGGGCGTGCAAAAAACACACGCCCATGTCCTCGATGCCACCCCTGGTGATGGAAGCTCGAATGCTTGCGGCGGACACCGCGTGGCAGCTGATCGAAGGGTGAGGAGGAGGCACCGTGCATGAGACCAGTACTCCGTTCCGATCACGAACGTGAACCGTGCGGCGGTAGAAGTTCACCGGGTGATCCTCGCTTCGCAGCCATGACATGCCCAAGATCATGTCGAATTGAGTGTCCAAAATGTCGAAGAATACGACCTCGCTTGCATGCGGGGCGAAGTACACGGGGACGAAATCAATGCATCGGTCGATTGACTTGTGCGTTTGACCGTCGGCCAATGTGACTTGCGTAGGCTGCGACTTCCTCCAAACGAGTGGCCCAAGGCCAGCGCGTATTATTAAGTCTTGGCTAATATAATTGCGAGTAGCTCCGCAATCGATCAAAGCGCCGTAGGTCGCCTCTGATTTGAATTCGGATGTACAACAATGGCGAGTTGATGTCGTCGTACCGTTGTGTCTTGAACTCGCGGTTGATCCTCGCAACGTAGTCGTGAAGGTCGACAACCTCTACTCCGGCGTCCATCAATGGAGCTGGTACTGCAATGTGCAAGTAATCCCGCAATTGTGCCATGAGCACGTTGCAATGCGGTTTCGGCAATCGACTGGTCGGGGGAACGGGCATCCATTGGAAGTCCGCGAACGTCAACGGGTCGAGTTCTTGAAGTCTTCACCATGACGTCGAATCCCAGGCGATAGTTGGCACCGAAGCTGCCGAATCGGTTGCCGATGGTGGTAAAACCGTGCATGCGGTGGATTGTTGCAAGTGGAGTGGCTGGTCCAACAGTGGGACCAAGTGGACAACGTAATCCTTGTAAGTGAACCGAGGACTCGCGACATTCACATCCTCCCCAGATCTGTAGGAGGCCGCTAGCAAGGCGGCCGAATCTGGCGGAGTGAGAGGTGGAGTCGCCTCACCTCCCGCGCAACTCAGTTTCCCGAGTTGATGCGAGGCCGGACATCCTCCTTGCCTTGATCCGGGCAATGGGACGTCTTGTGCTTGGTGCTGTTGCACCAATAGCAACAGCCATACCGACCGTGCCACTTGTATTCGGCCTCGGTCAAGTGAAACTTGACCCATGGTGCTTGTTGTCCGTTTCCGGCCGGCGATGCGGTTTTTGCCTTCCCTTTTCTTCGAGAGTTGTTGTTGCTTCGCGGCTGGACAGCGGCCACCTGATCTCCCTCACGTGATGCTTGGGTCGCTGTCGGGTCTTCCACAGTGTTGTCCGGTTGGACTGCAGCGACATGCTGCGGACGCGGACCAAATTTTCCTTTCTCCACATAGATTGGCTGCCATGCTGACTTCTCGTGTGCAGCCGCCCTGTTGGTCTTGATGATCTCCCTTGACTTGTCGATGATTTCGGCGAAGGTCGTGTATTGCTCGCAATCACCAAGTGCTAGGCTCAAGGCGACACATGACCGGTTGTAGAACTCACGGCGCAGATGCGAAAATGGCAACCCGAGATCAGGCGTTGCCACAATCTTTTGCCATCTGTAAGCCAGTCGCGTGTTGGTGTGTTGCCTTGGGTCATGGCGAAGAGGCGGTTGATGGCGAGCGCCAGGGCGTCGTCCACGATGAACCGCTTCTTCCATAGCCTCGTCAACTCTTCCCAAGAGATCTTCTCATGTAGATCGGTGACCTGGACGCCATGGATGGTTGCCAGGTGGTTGAGCTAGATCTGCCATCCGCCCTTTGAGTTGAGGAACAACGCGCCAATGTACGAGTGCTCGGGGACAAACAGAATCCGAAGTTCCGTCGTAAAGCCTTCCCACCAGGGGACCGGGTCTTGATGCGTATAATCATCGAACTTTTCGATGCGGAATGTCGGCATCTTGTAGTGTTGCGCACTGGTGTTGCCATCCTTGTTGGGCAGCTGGTGCAGTTGCTGAACCTCGGTCTTCAAGGTGTCCAGGTGCTTGCTGATGGTGGCTGGTGCAACGAAGGTGCTGATGTGGCCGAGCATTGCGACTACATGGTCAACTCGTTCCTCCAATTGGCGGGTAAAGGGTGCGCTGTTGGACTCGCCAGCATCTGGTCTTGGTGCAACTTGCTCCAAGTCCTGTACACGGGAATCAAGTGCCCGTGTAGCATCCTCGTGCAGATCCTTGTTGTTCCGCACCGCCCGTTGGAGAGTCGCCAGCTCGGACTGCAGGTGGTTACAATTGTAAACCAACCGGGTCATGAGTTTGGCAAGGAACTCCTTGTGCTGCTCTCCCTGTGTTGCGTCTTCGTGGTGCTCGGATGGTTCAAAATGCCAGAACTTGAGCTTTTCGATGCTGGCGGCTTCGTGCCGCTGTAGCAGATCCTGGGCCCCTTGCAGCGGACCTGGGCATCTGCGTCAGCTTCGGCCTGAAGTCGCTGCTTGTCAGCTACTGCCGCTGCTTCAGCCTGTAGGCGGGCAGTCTCGGCTGCCATGCGCCGCTTTTCCTCAGCCTCAATCAATGCGAGCTGAGCTCGGAACCGCTTTCGGTACTCGGCAATGGACTCATTGGCCAGTTGGCCTGGCATGCCCAGAATTGCGACCGTCATGGTGGCAGGGCACTGCTGATGTGGCACTGTTGCTGACATGGTACTGCTGACGTGGCACTGTTGCTGACGTGGCACTGTTGCTGATGTGGCACTGCTAACGTGGCACTGTTCCAAACCGGGAATGCAGGCAAGGGGTAGGTGGGAGGGAAAACACAGGTAGGTAACCAACCAAACTATACTTTCCTCCCGGTCCTAATCAACAGAATAAAATAAAAATAAAAAATAAAAGAAGAGGATCACCCCCCCCTTTTTTTTTTTTTTTTTTTTTTGTATATCTGTCGATCTGCTATGAGTGAGGCATTTCAGAGGAGTACCATGAGCGAGATCTACGCAAGGTTCCGCAAAGTTTCGGCTTTAAAAAAAAACGCGATCTTGAAAATATTTTTGCGCTCAATAGACTGGAGGTTCCACTTTCAGAGAAGAATAAATCCAGGCTCCGAGAATATGACAACCTCTATCGTTATCCTAATATGCCTAGAAAACGAAATGCTAACATCAGAAATTTTCGGCTATGTAGGCAAATATCAAAAATTTTGGGATGCTAATATCAGAGAAACGAAACGCTACTATCAGAATTTTTCAGATATTTGTTGCGTGAAAATGAAATGTTAATGTCGAAAATTTTCAGATAAAACGAAATGCTAATATCAAAAATTTTCAGATATTTGTTGCGAGAAAGAAAAAATTCTGCAGAGATTTGACGAAGTCCTACTTGATTTACTAATCAATCAATCAATCAATCAATCAATCAATCAACAATCAATAGATCAAGCAAGCTGGCTACTTGATTGGGCGGATCCTCTGACTGAGAGGTCCGCTCCGATACCAAACTGTCGCATACCGTAAAAGTGCAGACCAGAACAAGAGCCGACCTCTCTCACATAGTACAAGATAGCACAGCGGAAGGCTTAAATACCAATATCCGAACAATCAATGTTGCAATGCAACCCAAACATACGTCATAATCATTCCATGGTGTGAAGGGGCCTGGCGCCTAGCTTTCCAGCCTGTGCGCCCGGGGTACCCCACCGTGCCCGGAATGGCGCCTGGCCGGGCAACCCCCCCGAGCAGGCACCCGGGCGCCTATCGCACCGAGGTAGAAAAAGCCTCCAAATTTTTTTTCGCGCTGCCACCCTATTCCGAATGTGCCACATTCCATTTTGGTGGTCGGCGCATTTTTTTTTGGGGTCCGGTACAACCTGTTTTGTAGGTTTTCTTTTTTCCTTGGATTTTGGCCGTCGTTCTCCATCGATCGACGGCGCGCACTGATCCAAGATACAAAATTTAATCCTGGGCTTCTCCTTCGTTTTTCTTCTTGCGATCAGACTCGCTTTCATTCACATTTCACATGCATGCGAACAGGTTGCGCAGCAAATTGGCGACAAGCGCCCACTCAGAACTCAAAGATATAGTAACCAAGAACGCAACTCAGATACAAGTTCACTTCAAATGGGTATGGCGGCACATCGCCTGTAGAACTGTCTGTTCGTCACTTACTCAACATTGTTGTTCGCACACAGGATCACCCTGGATATCCCACATGCAACACACTGCACACTCGCACACTCGCACACTCACACACGCTACTCTCTCCTATCAGATACGGTGGCTATGGCCGCTGCTACCCTATCGCTATGGCTAAGCTTCCTTCTCGCCCACTTCGTCTTCGGGCTCACTGCAGACCACCTCGCACAAGTCGTTGTGGCAGCGCTTCCGCATGGCTTATGCAAGAATCAATGAATGGCTGGGCGCTGCCTCTTGATTTATACTTCAGTAACTCGTTGGTCTGCCCCTCTCCACCAGGCCTAGGGTGCACACAATCCCCCATGGTACTTGCTTGACTGGACTGGACTGACTGGAACGGTACCGCTGACTGCATGGGCTTGCACTGCCAACTCGATGTAGTCGCACCGCCGACGTAATGCAGCTGGGCTCACCACTTGCCCACTTGCCTCTGACTAAAACGTGAGGCAGCTTGGAAAGGCCACTTCCGGACCTTCCGAAAGTCTGTGGACTTGGCCTTTCGAGTACTGTAGCAGCTACGACCTTGACCTTTCAGGACTCCTACAGCTACAACCTCTACAGGGCTGTGACTCCTACTTGGCAGATCTACAGATCGAACCCCTACCACTGCACAGACCTACGATAGACAACAACAACTGTCAAAACACAGGTCACGGGTTCAAACACTCGTGGTCGACACAGATACTGTACACAGGTAAGGTGAGAACTAGGGATCGAGCCCTGGGATCTGCATTCGTTAGTGCTAACATGTGAAAACCATTTCACTCCCGTTGGCCTAAATTCGAGGTCCTCCGAGAATAACTCAGTCCAAGGCAGGACCTTTACCTTTCTTATCTCTCTCGTAGGCTCTAACTACGTCGGGAGCTGTTTCTAGAAGTTCGATTCTAGTAAACCAGCGGCCGTCTTCTGGCTCCTGGTAAGCAAATCGAACCTTATACTGCTTCTGCGGACGACCTTTACCTCCTGTTCTGAACAGGTCTTAACCTACAATGTCGTCAATGTCGTATCTTCCGTCCATGTCTGGAGGGATCATGGATCTCTTAGATGGAAACTGTTGACTTGTGACACACGGCAACAACTTTGAGGCATGAAACACAGGGTAGGTGTGGAGGTGTGCTGGGATCTCTACTGTGTAGAACGGCCCATCCTCTCCGCCCTTAACTTCTAGTACTGGCCACGGTCCTCTATATGCGGGCAGTAACTTCTGCAAGATGTTTTCCTCAGGAGCAAACTCTGTAGACTTGACCCAGACCAGGTCGCCTACCTGAAACTGTGATGGGCGACGGTGCTTATTAGCTTGTTCTATCATTCGGTGTTGGGCCTTCCTGAGGTTCTCTACCACGATAGCTAACTCTTTCTCGTGCTGTAACACAAACTCCCTAGTACCGGGCGGTAGCCTGTGAATCTGGTCCCGGTTAAGTCCCTCAAATGGTCTGCGTGGTGTAATGGACTTGTGCAACTCATTGGGAGTGCGACAGGTGGACAAGTGCACGCTATTGTTATAGGCACTGGCTACCTTGGGCAACATCTCGTCCCAATTGACTTGATCTGGTCTAATGTACATTCGCAGAACTTGCTGCAGGATCTTGTTCATTTGTTCAGTCTGACCGTTAGTCTCTGGATGACGGCCAGATGACATCAGCAACTCCTGCCAGTTCTAACTAGTGAACTGGGTGTATCCATCACTATAGACAACGGAATCACGTGTTCACTGACCCAATGATCAAAAAACTTCTTAACAACTAATTTTGCCCGTGCCTCTGAAGGCAAAGGAACAAAAACAGCATACTGACTAAATCGGTCAACTATTACCATGACTTGGCTCTTGCCGTGCCTACTCTTGACATGGGTGTCCATAAAGTCAATGGACACTGAATCTCCTGGCTGATCAGGAATAGGCAAGGGTCTGAGAAGACCTAGAGGGGCACGCGCAGAGGTCTTATTTCTCTGGCAGACCTTACAACTGCGAACATACTCTGTGCAGTCGGCCTTCATCCCAGACCATATATACGCGCGCATGAGGTCAGCTAGAGTCTTTTGCCAACCAAAATGTCCCTCAGTATCGTGGCATTCCCCTAGGATCAAACTACAGATCTCCTCACTGTTAGGAATGCACAATCGGTCAACTACGTTAGTCTTCTCGAATAGTAGCCCATCAGTAGTGCGGTAGTCTGGTTCCGACTCTGGGGCCTCCTTTACTCTCTTGAGGAGGTCACCATAGATAGGGTCCTGCGCATACCCCTCTCTAACTTTCTGTTGCAGGTCTCTCCCTATATCCAAATAATGAACTATTGCTCCAAAGTAGTCAGCTCTCCTACTCAAAGCGTCCGCAACTACATTATACTTCCCTTTGACTGGCTTAAGCTCAAAGTCATATTGGTCTAACTCTGCGGCCCACCTAGTAAGCTTAGGTGTCATCTTGGCCTGCGTCTCAGCCACCTTAATGTCTCGTGGTCTGAGTAGACTTTGAAGTGCCTCCCAAGCAAGTAGTGCTTCCAGTGTTCTAATGCTTGCCTGAGAGCGTAAAGTTCCCTCTCGTAGGTGGATGTCGCTACCTTCTCTGAAGGCATCCTAGCAGACATGAACTCTACGGGTCTATATCTGTTGCCATCGTCGTGCTGTAAGACAACACCTATACCATACTGGCTCGCGTCAGTGGTAACGACGAAAGGTAAGGACGGATCGGCTACCTTAAGGACTGGGTACTCTATCAACGCTTGCTTCAACTTTTTCATGGAAGACGTGCAGTCCTTGTCCCACTTCCAGATTGTTTCTTTCTTCAGCAACCTGCGGAGGGGAGCAGCGATGGTGGAGAAGTTCCTTACAAACTTCCTGTAATAGTTAGCTAGGCCTAAGAATGACCGCAACTCTGTCAACGTGCGTGGTGTAGGCCAATATCTATTCGCTGCGATCTTACTATCTTCTGGTTTGATGCCGTCTCCGTCTAAGACATGGCCTAAATACAAAACTTGGGTCTTTGCCCATTCGCACTTCTTTACATTGATCTTGAAGTTGGCTTCTCTCAGCTTCTCCAAGACCTGCCTTAGATGACACTCATGCTCCTGGAGGGTCCTACTGAACACTAGAATGTCATCTAAGTAGACTACTACAAACCTGTCTAACCACCGCCTAAACAAGTCGTTCATACAGCGACAAAAACTTGTTGGCGCGTTGGTTAGTCCAAAGGGCATAACTATATACTCGTAGTGCCCATACCTAGTCCGGAACGCAATCTTATACTGATCATCAGGATGGACCTCTATCTGATGATATCCGGACTTCAAGTCTATCTTTGAAAAATACTTACAACCCTGCACCCGATCTAAGAGATCGTCTATATGGGGCTGTGGCTCCGCATTCTTCACTGTGATAGCATTGAGAGCATTGAGACCCCTATAGTCAATGCACATTCTAAGCTCTCCCTCCTTCTTTGGGACAAATAGAACAGGTGCTCCAAATGGAGACGAACTGGGCCTAATCCAACCCTTCTCTAAGAGTTCATCTAATTGTTTGCGCAGCTCCTCAAACTCCCGTGGGAACATCCTATACACTGCTCTTTTAGGAGTCCTACTGCCAGGCTCTATCTCAATGAGATGCTGGATGGACCGCGAGACTACTCCCGTAGGCAACTTAGCTAAATCTACGTACTCTTCCAACAGCTTGGCAATAGCACGATCTATGGGCTTTTCCTCTTTAGGCTCAGTAATTGGCTTGACATAGGCTACACATACCTGTTCTTCTAGCTGCTCCTTCACTAATCTTGCAAACGCAGGAGCGCTAAGGCAGCAATGTGCCAGGGAGTTATCTACTCCTGACACGTGGAACAAATGGGCAGACTTGACCCCGCCTGACGAACTAGGGAGCCTACACTCGTGCTCTCTCAAATGGAGTGTGGCCCCCGCTGCCTCTCCCCAGTCCATTCTTAGGACTATATTGAAGGGAAGGCTGTCCTCTATGAGGAGAGTCAGGGAATGGAAAACTTTCTCCACCTTCCCATCTTTCTCTAGGCGAAAGTACGCCAGGACTGAGAGTCAGGGAATGGAGAACTTTCTCCACCTTCCCATCTTTCTCTAGGCGAAAGTACGTCTGGACTCCCTCTACATAATCCTCTGCTCGCATCGTGCGATTGTCTGCGAGGATACTCACAATGGGGTCTGCTAACTTCTAGACTTTTAGCCCCAACTTCAACTTTTGCAGCGCCTTTCTTCTGATATAGCTGAGCGTTGTCGTAGCAAACACCCTTACAAGGGTATTTGCCGTCCTTTTTAAAAGGTTGTACTGGGTGCATCCTTGACCGACGAAACGCGCTGACGAGGTAAAACCCATCAGGGCGCTTACCTCGGCAGCCTCACTCTTGGCAAGATTTCGAGTCAAGTACGACCGAATTAGAGAGTATGTGGGGCACAGATTATTGCGTGGCATTGTGAGGTGGCCGGTGGTCATCGGCAATACTAGGCTAGCGAAATGGCGCCAAAGCTGTGAGGCCCGGTTATTCTCCCTTCTGTAATTTTTATTGTTGATTATATTCTTCTTTTTATTTTATAAAGACTAAATAAATTTACTTTGCAACTAGTACGGCCTCTGGCGGGACACGGGGCGAAGAGAATAAAAACTTTACCTTGCGCACAGGCAGGAAGTTTATGTTGGACAACGCGTCGAAAGGCGCGGGTGGCATCTCGGCGTCTTCTGACGGCCAGAAGGTTGGCCGGTAGGCCAAGGCGGAGGCCTGGTTTGTGCAGGTAGGACCAATCACGGGCCCGCGATTATTCATACGCAGGTTCACGCCTACCTAGCTCAGCCTTCGGCCTAGTTCTAATGGTTACGTACTGGACTTTCAAGCGACAGGTTTGGGGTTCAAGGTCAGCAAGCGGTGATGGAACAAAGAAGTGCGACAGGCGGAGACTGAGGGGTCGAGGGTCTTAAGGGACTATGCCCCTTGGTTTTGCCGGACAGGCCCAAGCCTGGGTTCGACTGGCGAGACCAAGAGGGCGTCGGCAGGTCCTCGTCCTCTTCACTTCTACCATTTTTATTTTTGTTGATTTATTTTTATTTTTATTTTTCTCCATTTTCCCGTCCATTGACCAGGCCGGAGACTGGCTCCGGGACTGACGGCGAAAAAATACCGCGCGGAGAGGGTGACAAGAACCTTGAAAAGAAAATTAGGGGGTGTTCGAATTGCCGAGCAAGAAGCAGGAGGGGGACATCGACCGCATTGTCACCCCTTCGGTTGAACGTGGGAGTGTTTCCCATCATGGGCTGCCGAGGACGGCTTTACAGTGGGGAGCGGTGGAGATCTCCACGGGTGCCCAGCGCATGTGCTGCTCTTGAAAGGCCCGGGGCTTGTTCGGAGCATTGACGGGATCCCTCTACCCTGCCCGTTTTGACACGCGGACTGAGGTGTTCAAATGCATGCGAGCGGGAGGGTGCTTAGCTCGCGAGGCGGAAGAAGCCTGAGTGGCAGGATCCCTCTGCTGATATACCATCCGCCGGCCGCAATCTGCTGTGAGAAATCTCAGTGTGAATAGGCCTGTGGGAACAGCAGACTGCGGGCCTAGCCCAATTGGTACACCCGCGGACTATTGAAAAACAGTCCAGTGGGATCTGTACCTGCGGTAGCCCAGCTGGTACACCCGCAAACTGTTGGAAACAGGCCTGTGGGACAAGCACTAACTGACCTAGCTCAGTTGGTGCACCCGCGGACTGCTGAAAGTAGGTCTGTGGGACCAGCACCTACACACATAGCTCAGACTGGTACGCCCGCAGACTGTGGAAATACAAGCCTGAGTTCGAATTCCCTGGGGGTACTACCTTGTAGAAGAATAGGAGAGGCCCTCACACCAACGATGTCTGACGACGTACGTAAGTGCTGTCAGATTCATTCCAAAAAGGTGCTAGTGCGAATAAGCCTTCAGGGATATAATTGGCATGAGAAGAAGGACCCACTAGAATGTATGATGTTTGCGGGCAAGGCTGTACTCGTCCTAGCAGGGGATTTTTTCTCTTTCTTACTTTGTTTCATATATATATATATATATATATCGTCACAAACAGAACTGCCCGGTAAACCGTAGGCAGAGAGAGAAGAGGACAACAAACGAGGGGCTGTGACAAACTGTTTCGTCGGAGTATATATATATATATCGTCAATATATATATCGTCATATATATATATATATATACATATATATATATATCGTCAAATAGAACTGCCCGGTAAACCGTAGGCAGAGAGGGAGAAGAGGACATATATATAGCGCACCCCAGGAACACAGATCAGACGCTCTACATCATCGGTGGCCTCCCTAATTGACTTAAATTGCCGCGTGTGCAGTGTCAAGATCGCGTCAGCGGCCTTTTGGGCCTCCTGAGGATCGTGCCACCTTTCTTCCACCATCTTGAGGAAGTCCTCCAGTTTCTGGTGGGCTGCCCAGGCGCGGAAGTCATGACCGTACCCTTGTAGTTGCACTAAACCACTCAACCATCGTGCTGCTCTACCCTCTAGATAGGATGCAGCCACAAGCACTTCCTCGTGCGGCAAGGTAAGCTTACACTTGACATAAACCGGCACTGCCCTCAACCATGTGTCGAGGTTTTCGCCCCTCTTATCCCCTGTGAAGGGTTTAGGAGCGGCGATGGCCGTCTTTGGTACCCACTATTGTCCCGGTCCCTGCATCACTCCGGGCTGTGGACCCTGTGACACAGGCTGCTGTGCTAGCTGTGGGGCTGTGTACCCTGCGGCTGTACAGGCTGCGAGACAGCAGGCTGCATGGTAACCGCCACCTGCAACGAAGATTGGGTGAACACTGTCTGTACAGGAGCCTGCAAACTAGTTCCTGATGATACCCCTCCTGATAGCGGCATGCCCAGGGAAACGATCGCAACCGATGATGGGGCTACATATGGGGATACCTCAGTCACCGGTGGGACAAAAGGAGGAGGCAGTACAACGGGTCAGGCGCCAGGCCCGGACATCGGCGACGTTGCCTGCGCTCGCCCAGCCAACAGGGCCAGACTTTGTTGAATGTCCTGAAGGATGGTTGTCTGATGGTCCTGCATTTCAACTACATTTAGCAGGACGGACCGTATGATCGTCACATCATCAGCCACGTGCGTCAGGTCCATCTCCTCTAACTCACTAACGTCCGTTTTTATCTCCTTTCCTTCTCCGCTTTTATCTCTCCTAATGCCTTTTGTAGTTGTGCCTCCTGCAATGCTGCTTGTTGTATGGCGATCTCGTCTGAAGTCAACACTATTGGCTGGCTTGCAATTACGCCAGTGGACTGACTCTGGGTCTGCACGATCGTTGACCCGACAGATCCTGAACTACCAGCCTGAGTAGTCTGCTGCGCTTCACTCACAAGTGCCCGGCTAGCCTCTGCTGTTGCAACCTCTCTCTACGTTGGCGGAACACGTACCTATCACCCTCAAGACCTAATGTCAAATGGGCTAGTGGGCGCCTTGCCGATCGCAAGATCCAGTCGTCCTCTCTAGTGTCCTCCTCGTCGCTCATAAGCTACAGCACTGTACACAAGTTGCACTAATGCACTCTGGATGCCTACCGCAGTATAGTGCACAGACCAATTTATTGGTGGCTATTTCGGAGTAGATAGATTTGGGGTCAACAGGTAACTCAGATTCCTACAAACGAAACTATTTTTAGTTTGACTGGTCTACAAACAAAAGCATAAGGAACAAATAACAGTTCTAACTAAGGCTGTCTGTCAGATGTCAATGGTTGTACACCTAACTAATCAAAACACAAAAATAGAATCATTTGTGTGGATAGGACAGTATGGAATTTTTCCTCGAACTAATCACCTGAAATCTACCCCTCCCTTAGTTCCCCTGAATGTCACTTGACGTCAGCGTCCCTGAGCGATCCGAAGAGCGTCGCGTGTCTAAAAGGTGTGTGTTCGGCCCACCCCTGTGCTCCGAGTATCTGCTGAGCTGGCCAGCCCTGCACTAGATTATCCTCGCATGCAGCGAGCCTTACAATCATTGGCTGATCCAGAGGCAATTTAACGACCGCCCCCAAGTGTCACCAGGAATTATTTTACGTCGCAGCAGGACGACGATCACAGCCAATGATTTCCCCTGACGGTGTTTATTTAAAGACGCCCGGTTCTCATCACCCACTTAGGGCTGGCTGGCCCTTCAGTACCCATCTAACAGCGCAACAAGCCAAACAAAGGATAAGCAGCAAAGCATGCGTGCTCTACTCCCGGTGGGTTGGCATGGTGACCGTGACTCAGTGCTTCGTCCAGGGCCCTTCAGAATGCTTCGCCCATCTTCTCCCAGATGCTCCACGTGAACATTGCCGACTCTCAAGGTTGAGCGCACTCGACACCTCACAATGAGAGGACTCTCAAGAAGGAACACACAACCTCACGGTAAGAAGTGTCGAAGAGGGTAGATAAGGTTAAGAGCAACGTACCTCGAATAGCTGCCCCCAACCACAGAGATAATATCACCAGATGACCTGATGGTGATTGCGATGACCAGTCACTGCATCGGCAAAACCAGCATTGTCTCGCCGTTCCACCTCAGCATCAATCAACCATTAGATAGTTCTCATCACACTGTCCAACACCCACATTACATCACGTAGC